TCTCGGATCCCCTACCCCATTATAGTCTATTTGGTAACCAAAATACACTTTTGGGCAAATATGTAATTTTTGCGATCCCGACTTAACCACTTTCTATTTTTATGAATTGCCCTTTTTTTGTTGTTGTTGTTGTTGTTGTTTTTTTTTTAACCGAATAAAGAACACTTTCACCACTTTCTTTTCACCTACAGTACAAACATCCCGGTACGTTTGCTAACCGTTAATATAAAGACGTCTTACCCAAAAAAATCCGAAAATGTGCGAACCCATTCTAGTAACTATATTGAAAATGCGACCTCATTGTAGTCATCCAGTTGTGAAAAAGCGACCCCATCCAGCGTCACATCCCCATTAGCCTCTTATAAGGAAGTTCCACCCCCCCCGAGTTCTGTTTGTAGTCTAGAAAGTAATATATAGATTTAGCCAGGGCTAAAAACGAGGCTCCCATTAGTAAATTTATAATTTAAATTAAACAATAAACTTGTATTCGAATTCCACAATTCAGTTAACTTTAGAGCACATTTATGTGACTTTTGAGGGAAAGGCTACCTGATTTTAGAGAAAAATAATTTGCAAACAGCCCAAGAGTGAACCAAATCTTACATCGAGTTGATAGCCTCATATGTACACTCAAAAACTGGTAATCATCTTTTATCACATTTAAGAGCCGTAATGGCTATTGATCACCGTAGATCAATTAGGCTTAGAAAAAAAACCAGGCCAACGTTTTGGCGTTCGACAAGTTTACTTTGCAAAATCTTGCCAACAAATCTGGGTGCGTGTAAACCAACCTTTTATACCATGGACAGAAAGCAGTATTTCACAATACAAATTACTCTCATTCAATATTCATAAACTGTTAAAAACATTTTCCAAAATCACCTATACGGCCATCCGGTTCTCACTTTTGTAGTGCGAGCTGTAGCGAGTGTTTGAATGAACATTAACAGAGTTACGCTCCAAGATAATAAAGAATTTATCATGTTTATTTTTTATTTGATGGTTTAACGCGCGGCATTTTGAGAACTCCTGCAAGCGATGTTCACTGAACGACTGAAAACAATCGGCATAGCGATTAAAATTGCAAGAGAGACTACTAACAATCAATAAAAGAAATATAATTCGGTGAAACATAAACAGAGACAACAATTTTCATTCAGGAAGACAAGTATTAAAGTGTCCCTAAATATCCTGAATCTTCAAGCTTCAAGCTTAAGTTTGCTGAAGTTTATGTTTTAAGCCAGCTTCCCGGTGTTTGTTTTTTCAAAGACGAACTCGAGGCAAGAAAATCGCTCAAAGCTTTCTTTTCCGGCTAGAATTATAACTAAAGATTCTTTGGAACATTTTCTTTCTATTTGCGGTGAGAAACTGTCTAAAGGCTTTTTAAAGTTCTGTAAGATTATATCAAACCAGATACTCGGTGAGATCGTTGTCTCAAATCTTACAAACGCGCATAAACTAAATTCCCGCATAAACTACGCTCCACTTCATTAAATTAGATACAAAAAAACAAACATGAAATACAATAATTTCTCTGGCTTACCATTCGAGATGCAGCTCCTGAAAGTTATCAGGTAAAGCCAGTATCGCTTCAGACTTTGCAATCCTCTTACGCATCAAGCAAGGTGAAAACGAAAACGATGCCATCCGAAATCGGATTTCCGACTTTGACAAGCGACGTTTTCTCAACCAAAAACCCAATAAACAAACTAGCCATGAGTAACAGAAGACTCCTGATAGCAGCTGAATTTCATTTTGTACATCCAGTGGAAAAAGACAGTTAAAAACATCACAAGTTGACACAAAACTCTGTCAGCTTCAGCTGTTAAAGTAAACAAGATTTAAGATGCTGCATAAATTTTGCGCATGAACTCACCTGTCAAATTTTGACCAATCAGAGCATAAAAATTGGACGTAGAGCGTGAACAACGCGTGACCATTGTGAGAAAAAACAATATCAACTGTCTTCCCTGCCTGTAACAGCTGGCTGAATTTTCACGTCCGAGGTCAGTTTCCAATCAAAATTTTAATTGTGCAGCACATAAACACAACATATTTCATATGAATTAAGAAAAAAAATTGAACTTGAGCCTGCGATCACTTGAAAACTAGTTTACTTGTCAGCGGATAACTTCAAAAAATACTTGACCTCGACGGGTCGACACCTGAGCCCGCGATACGGTCAAGTGATACTGGTCAGCGGGTACTCTGTTTTGACAGCTGTCAATTGATCAAAACATTGATGGCCAATATGTGTGCATTATCAGTTTTCCTGTGCTCCCAAACTAGTAAAAGTATGAGATTGAACGTTGTTCGCGATCTAGTAAAACAGTTAACTGGTCAGCGGACAGCTTCCAAATAAATCACGTCACCTCGATGAGTTGACACATGAGCCCGCGATATGGTCATGGGATACTGGTCAGTGGCTATCCTGTTTGGACAGCTGTCAATTGACCATATTGTTAATGTCCTATATTAAAGATGTGGACTTGCCAAGACACGCCTGGGACACCCCTCCCTTCCTTTTGATAGTCTCCCCTACCCCACCCATACAATCTGTAGACGCGTACGTACGTACGTACGCTCGGTCAATCACGTGACAACCAAACGAAAAGAGGTTGACCATATTCCATGGGTATGGGGCTCTGTCCCACGCGCGCTTCGCGCGCGCGGGAGCCCCGCTATTATGAGATTATACATAATACATCGAACAAAATTAATTAAACACTGCTACAATACAGTTGATTCGCACAGACACTGTTGGATGCGAGAAAAGGGGCCGTCGTAGGCCCGGTTCAGACGCCAAACTTTTCATGAGGCGAACCTAATTCGAATTAAGGCCGACCCAATCATTTAAAGCAGCTAAACTGGTTCAAACACGCCGATCTTAATTTCGGCTGAACTAAATTCAAAAGGCTAAAAATGCTCATTTCGGTCAAACTGCTTACAAAATACGTAAAATAATTTATGCATTAGGTTCGGTACATGAAAAGTTCGGCGTCTGAATCAAAGCAGTTCCAAAGTCGCTCCAAAGGCGAAATTCCCAGCCAGGCTAGGCGAAAAGAACGGCTGAGCTGTGTCAAATTGAACCAGGCGTTCCAAACTGATGCATGACCCCGAACTTTTCATGTACTTTCTTCAGTGTATCAGGTTCGGCTCATGAAAAGTTTGGCGTCACGAGTCGTTTCGATAACGTCCTGTTCGCCAACGTCTTAGGTACCCTCCGACCCAAATACAAAATCAGAGGAGTTCCTATGGGTTGGTGCAAGGTCGACACTTGTTGGAGCCTTTTTGTTTTAGTTTTTTTTTTGTTTTCTTTTGTTTTGTTTTGTTTTTGTTTTTGTTTGTTCGAGGAAACGTTTATTCGGTTAGGATGCTAGAAAAGATAACTCTCCAAGGGCAATCAGTTGCTATCAGGATAAGACAAAAGTGTCAGTATTTTCAAGCAAATCATAAAAAAACACAGAAAAGGATAAAGTAGTTAAACTTTAGAATAATCAATAATAAGAAACTCTGGGAACTTCAACTTACTTCTTTCTTAATAAATGCACTCGAGCAGGCAAGGCGGCATGCAAATAGCTGCATTAGATAGATCGATATCGTGAGACCGTACGGGAATTTTTCTGTTAAGGAGCGGACATAAGGAGTTCGATCTTGTTTTGTAAGAAAAATAATGGACAAGATTTGTACATACTGTAAGACACTGTCTTTTATTGAAACAATGATTGAAAGCTTTAATTAATTCAGTAATGCATGACACGTTGAAGCAAACTATACTGACATGCAAGAAATAAAACAAAGATGCTATTAAGGTGACGCAAAGATTTGACAAGAATCTCAATGTTACGAATAAAAACATTCACTTTTTCCACTGTTTGAGAGATAATCTAGCCTGCATGCCAGGCGTTCCAAGGGAAGGAAAAGGAGATTTTGGGTGCGTGAGAAGCGTGAAGGACGCGCGAGGAATGAGGAAGGAGAACGCGTTCCTCTCCTCGCTCCTCCCTCGCGCACGGTCTCGCTCTTAAATTCCCTTCGATCAATTCCCTTTCGAACGTTTGTCAAGTATGCTAGACATAATCAAGTTATTCTATCATCATGTTCATCTTCCTAAATAATTGATATAAATTTTACAAGGTGCGATTTTAATCCCCGAAATCTAATCCGCTTTTAATAATGGTCTTGCCTCGAAGCAATTTGGCTACAAAAGGAATCGTACCGTTCCTTAATTAAGCACTTAAGCAATTAAGCAATTAAGCATTGGATTAAATATTTTCCAGACGAAAATATTTTAGGGACGGACCATTTGAAAACTTATGAGGGGGGGGGGGAAGGCGAAGTACAAAAAAAAATTCGAGAAATTAAAAAAAAAAATCAGAAAAAGTATTCATGCTATGGCCTTAAAAAAATTCGTGCAAGGAATTTGATAACGAAAAAAACTTCCTGTGGCTCGAAAATTTCCTCCCCCCCCCCCAAAAAAAAACGTTTCTAGTAGTCCGTTCCTCTTAAATGCGAAGGTTACCTTTTCCGCAGATTTTTTGTGTTTTTCGTTAAGATTAAAAGATTATATCACCACCTTAACTTTGACTACATATTATAGACTAGGAAACGACCGAAAATCTGATGGTATGCATGGAAACCCGAGAGAGAATGGGTTCCCCTGAAGCTGTAGTGATATATTTTGGATCCATGACAGACCACCTACCAAAAGTATCGCCAATCAATCGCTCTTAATCACAGTCATTTTGTCTCGTCAAGCAACGAGAAGTAGCGGAGCGTGACAAGACAAAACGGCTGCATGGGAGACTAATTCCCTACAGGTTCAGCCGGTTATTGTGTCGTCACGAAAGGTGCCTCCCCGCAAAAAAGCTAGAGAAGCACTGCGTGACAAAACAAAGATTTGCTGCGCAGGACTAACATGCCGACATAACAATACAAAAGCTTGATACTGTTATTATAGTTTAGTATTGACAATCTGATACAACGAACGTAGTTCACAAAGGGCTGAAAAGAAAATAACCAAAAACGATACTTTCACACCTTGCACTTTACAGTCTATATTTGTAGAATGCAATTCTAAAGAAATTGAAACAGCGCCAAAGTTAAAGACTCCCCTTATTAGGACTGGGACCTAGATACTTCTTCAATCATTATCCGAGATACTGAATTCCACCCAGTGTAAGAACTACCTGGTTCCCAGCGACCACGACACCATCCTACCCATAATTCCACTCTAACCGCCCCTTGTGGAATGTTTTCACAGTACCCCTCAAATGACTGATGATGCACCAGATTAGGGTTCCATGACGATAAGTTGTAAACAACAGCCTCAATCGTCACTGGTCCACTGCATTCATTTCCATTGAACTTGAAATACCAGCGGTTACACTTAGAACCACCCAGGACCCTCATGTATCCCTGGAATGAGACTCTGAGCGCTGAATTAGACTGCAGTTTGTTAAACGCACAGCCCTGGAATAAAATCAAACCAAGAGAGGATAAAGGGGACAGAGAAGGCATCTCCCATACACACCCTATTCCATAGGTAATTCGTCTCGAGTTATTTTTAAGACCACAGATCCCTAGGGGAATTAGACAACAGCCAATCACATAGCGCGAATGAGTTCCGCGTGGGTGACCCACACTCAGAGCCACGCGTCCTTCACGAATTGACACAGAACAAAATGGCGGAAGACGCGGAGAGCGATATTGCTATCCGTTTTGTCGACGAAAAAGACTACAGAAAGATTTTTGCTAAAGCTGTGTCAGCGAAACGGAAATTAAAAAAAAGAATAGCCCTTCCTCTCTTGTATAGAGCTAACAGTACAGCAGGGAAATCCTTAATACACTGAATATTCTCTCAGGATCATTTCTAATTTTACAGTTTAAAGAGAGCAATTTCTGGTTTGATATTTATTCTTTGATTAGTCTTTTATTATTTAACAAAAATAACACTTGGCGTCCTATTTGGTTTATTGTACAAACGACCTGTTCAATAGACCGGCGAAATTTCTCATTTTATTAAAGCACTGAGGTTACGACAACTTCGAGTTAAACTGATTTCACGGGTTGTCAAAAAGTCTAGTGATTCCCTTTTCCAAGGTGAGCGCCGACTCATTTCGCGTCAAAATTCAGGAATGCTCTCGATCTCTTTACGCTTTCATTGCCCTTCGCCCAATATGTGTTTTGCACGGTGTTTAGTCATGCGAAACCTCCACAAAACATCCAAACAGCGCGCGAGGTAACTTTATCCCGATTCTAGAAATTAACTCGAGACGAATTACCTATGGAATAGGGTGTGTATGGGGGATGTCTCCTCTGTCCCTTTTATCCTCTCTTGAATCAAACAAATCAAGCATATTGTAGTAAGGCGAACAACCGTGTGTAATAATTGATACTAACAACTCCACTCAAGTTTACTTCCTAATGTTTAAAAACTCTGTAATAGCTTATATTTTTGTTGTCCTTATCCATATGGCTAGAAATCATTTTATCACGCATGATGGTTTTCTTTTTTTCGTTCAAAATTAACCAAAGTAGAGGAAAATGTAACTTAGTTATTTATGTAATGTGTTGTCAAACGGTGAGTGCGAGGACAGATGTTTTTCTTTGAAACATTTTAATTTAAAAAGGAATGAATTTTCTTAAGAGTGTGTTATGATTATTATTTTAATTAAAGTACCTTAATCTTTCCTTCAGCAATATTGATTTGTGCGCCCCACACACATTGTTTCCAGTTGGTTTGTGGTACTACACTTGCTTGACTTGCTTTGGTGCTTTCTCCTTTGTCTCCTTTTCTTCCTTTCATTCCCGCAATGCCTGCCTCTCCTTTCATTCCCACAATTCCCTGTTGACCTTTCATTCCCTTAAATCCTTGGGGTCCACTCTTCCCAGGGGGTCCTTCGCGCCCTCTGTCTCCTCTTGGACCCGGCATTCCTTGTGATCCTTTATCACCAATTTGTCCTTTCACACCGTCCCTTCCCTGGGTGCCCTGTGGCCCCGGGACGCCCGGCACTCCCGGTATTCCATTTGATCCTGGAATACCAGGGAAACCCGGCATAGATCCCTGAAAGAAAAGATGACTTGTAATTAGCAGAGACAAAGACGACACGGGATCATAAATAACTCGGGGGGGGGGGTGCTTGATGTACTCCTGGGAATTTTTGGTGGAGATGTGCCGCGCGGCTCCCCAAATCCTGACTCTATTTCAGACCAAATCACGTCATTTTTTACACCCGATTTCAGACTTGACCCCTAAAATCCATACCAGTTTTAGGACCTTGTCTGTAAGAAATTATGCAGGTCATTTTTACTTAGATTAATTCTCTTTTGCAAATGAAAGCATAATTCCGTTTATACACGCCCGTAGCTCAGCCCTCGCAAACAATGATTCCACACCTAAATGAACAAAGTCTGTACCCGCCGGCTGTCTCCGTTGTTTTCCGAGGCACGGAATGAACCTTGGACATCAGAATCTCGCCTCGAATGGACTTTGATGGAATCAGAGAAAATTAACAGTTAACAATGGACAGGCTTCAGGTTTTCGAGGAAAGATCATGCTACAGAGAGGACTTTTAAATAAACTGCCATACACTTTTAGCGGGTACTTTTTAGTAAATGATCATAACGACGTGAGACTAGTAAAACAGTTTCTTGGTGTACCTAATCTACGGCGCAGTACTCCTTTTTATATCCTCTGCATTTCTTACCTGGCATAAGTCTTTTAACTTTGAGGCGTTCTGTTGCTGAGGTGAGGTGGTTGTTCCCAGTGAGCCGCCAAAAAAAGAGAGAATCAGGAAAACAGCGGAATACTGAACCATGGCGGTGAGAGTTGAACGAGAACACAACACAGCGCTTTCTGAAATCAGTGCTACGTGCTCATCATTTTATAGCAAATAATTTGTTAGTTCGTTTTTGCTTGTTTGTTTTTCCTTTTATGGTAATTTTTTTGCTTCTTCTTATTCTCTGTTTATAACCCCGCTTCAGGGTACTGAAACAGGGTCAAAAGATGAACATTCCAAAAATAAATGACAGAACATAATTTGTTTTGAAAGCAACAAAGTTTCAAGCATGCTATCATGACTTTGTGTTTCTAACGGTACCCGATCCCTTTCCTTTTTAGTGCGTCAAAAAGCCAAAAATATAACTTTGCTTTCAATGCAAGTTGGCTATGTTATGTCAGAAAAGAAAAACGGCTCCATTAAGCTCCAGCTAAGCAAGCCTTAACAAGTGTAGCGTTACTGTGTTTATTTTTAAACTCCCATATCTTATACCTTGATCGCGTGGTGGTGGGGGGTCCCTTTAATAACCTGTAAGGGGAGGCGCTGCCCAAAAGGATACCTCCTTCAATTCAGGATTGGACTATTCCACATGGAAAGAACGCCTTTAAGTTAGGAAAATTGCAAAGTCTAAAAGTCGGATTTGTTGAAAACCAACGAAGATATATAGCTCGTCAAAATCGCCAGATTTTACAGACGTTTGTATGGTGGGGGCCGGGCACAAACTTACTCTTCCCCCTCCCCACCCTCCACGTACAAGCGTCCGTCTATTTTTGCAACTTTACAGAGCTCTATCTTTGAACGATTAAGACGTATCACTTTCTCATTTGGCAATGTTACAGCCACTGAAATTAAAATTAAACTTCTGTTAGTACTACATATGTGTCAGAGGCCGTGACAGAAAAATTATCTCTTTCCTCTACTGCTGTGACGTTAGTGAGATGATTGTTTGCACAAAAATACTAATAAAATAAAATAAAACAAGAAGGAACAAAAGCCCAGCACAATTTTTTCACGGTCATGCATGAAGCCACAGATTCGAGTTATTTCCAGTCCTGTTAAACCTTGCTCACTCTGAACTGTGTCGCTCATAAGCCGTGGGATTGTACACCTTCTTAAGGGGTTTTAATTCAGCGGGAATGCGTATAAACGGAGGGGCTTTGGTAACTGAGGGGGCGTATAGATGGCACAGAAATAAGCTGTAGCATTGCTGATCAAAATACATTTTTGCAATTACTGCTCGTTAATTAAGCCTTCAAAACGTCATTATAAATCGACTTCGATTTAGTTCAAGCAAGAGGGCAGCGTGTTATTTTCGGTGGGGCTTATATTCGGACGTTTTTTGTCTTTGTTTACAGCCATGATATCGGCCCATAACTGAAGAGGAGGGCTAATAAGTCAAGGTGCTTATTCGCCACTTTGACTGGGCCAAGATGTTTGACAAGTGCATTATGGGACTTTTGGAGGGACGCGTTTTCAACAGTGGTGAATAAGCGACAGTTTATGGTGTTTCACGGTATCGGTTCAGATTTTCAGACCTAGAGGAAAAAGAGTAAACTGTTCTTCACTAACGCGCTAACAAGTCCATTCGTGTACAAGGTGACATGCATAGAGCAGTTACAGAGCTGAGTGATATTTCAATGGAAGGATTTATCTCTAAATTTCTACATGTATAGTAAACAATATTATTTTCAGGGTTTCCGGTAACTCGTCTTGGCAGAGACCTCATTCCTTTCATCCCGCGCTGAATCGATCGTCCCCGGCTTTTTACCTCCTAATTCTGGGCTACTACATCTAAAAGAACAGTAGCTTTCATGAAAAAGCGTACATTCAGACGTAGACAGGGCTTACAGATGGTAAAAACTCGAGAAAACGTTGTGGTTTCGTGATTTTCCTATTTCATAGTTAAAAGAGAGCATTTATAGCAGTAAAAAGGTATGTTGAAAGGGCACCATTTGTCAGTGGAAAGTAAAAGAAAGGGTATCTTTTCTGTCAAAAATTGTACGTAAAAGGCGTTAAGGGGTTGGACCTCGGGGCGGAGCGTCTCCATATAAAACTTAGTTCAGAAGCCCCTCCGGCTATTATGATCTAGAGTCAGTCAAAAACAGTTCGCAACGTCTGTGTTTGTTTGTTTTTGTTTTGTTTTGTTGTTTTTTTTTTTGCTGTAGTAGACGTCGTTACATAAAGTGGAACGTGACCTTCCTTTTTGCAACACATGCTTGCTGCAAAGCAATTGTGAATTTATGTCGAAGGCAGCTTTTTTCCCGAGCGATAGCCAAATTTTGAGTCAAGTAGCACGTAACATAATGGGGCTTACGCAGCAACGGCGGGGAAAGTTTTCCTTATTAAAGAAAACTTGCTCTTGTA